AGAGTGCACTGAACAATAGATTTACAATTATCCTCTGCTAATATGAATGGGTTAAATGATCCGTAGTACATGATATGTAGCCCTGTACCCCCTTTTCCACTTACAGAGCTAGGTTATTTTTCTTTTAAATAAATATTAATGTAATTTTATTGGTATCTATCTACCAGTAGCTGCCTCATTTCCCACCCTCGGCTTATATTCGGGTCAATACTTTTTCCCAGTTTTTTTTGGTAAAATTAGGTACCTCGGCTTATATTCGGGACGGCTTATACTCGAGTATATACGGTAGTTTTTACAAAATGTTAGTTTCAGATGTACCGTTTGGAATGTGTACTAGACTGGTTTAGGTGATCTTGCTACTCTGGTCTGTTTACTGCTGATCCTGATAAAAATCACCTCTCTTCTAAAAATCGTCTTACTTTTTGTGGAAATGGTTATACATGAGCCCAGTTTGTATTTGTAAAAATACTTATCTGTGAAACTGTGATATATTTCTGACAGTTCTCGTTCTGTAATCTACAGATACTGATAAAATACAGTTTAGACTTCTGCTTTTATAATGGTAGCTACGAATGCACAACTTGAAACCTTTTCTGCCTTGCCAATGGACCTTGTTACCAACTCATTAAATGGAGTTTATAGTATCTTTAACTTTCCAAAAAGGAACAGAGCATCACCAATCCCAATCTTCAATTGCCCTGTGCAAAGACCACCAGCCTTTGGCATACATTAGTCTTAGGCTGGGCACACACCTTACAACCATCGCAAGACTTCTGTCTTGCGATGGTTGTAAGGTACTTAAAAAAACGTACGATCTGCCTATGTTGCATAGGCAGATCGTACTTGCGATGATCGCAAGCCACGCCCCCTGAGGGGCGGGCTTCCGATGACCGCAATGCCGAACGGGCAGTGTGCGCTTGCGCACACCGGCCCGTGCGGCTGTTATCGTACGGACATGCCACAAACCCGCCGAACATCGTACGATGCTCGGCGGGTTTTCGAACATGTCCGTAAGTTTACAGTCGTGCAACCTTACAGTAGTAGAGGTCGCACGGCTTCCACACACCTTACGATCATCGTAAGATCGCGGGATTTCCCGCGATTCTCGTACGATAATCGTAAGGTGTGTGGGGACCCTTACACACTTTATTCCTCCACAAAATAATCTACACCGAGGTCCAATCTCTCAAAAATTCAGTAAAGCTTTTTTTGATGAGGTCTACATACCTTCCAAATGTGCCTCATTTGGAACAGAAACCCTCTTTCACTCTTCCTCTTCAGTTGTCCCTCTTATTGGTCTGCTGTACAGATAGCTAGGTTCGATTTAACTATCAAAAGTGTTATTCTGAACTAGAACCTTCATCCTTTCCCTTAATTATCTTGTATACCATTTTGAAGAGCTACTATAAAGAAAAAGTAATGACAAACAAAATTCAGGGTTAAACCAATCTTTTTTGGCATAGAAATACTTCATGTTATTTAAAGCTAGGGGCGCAGCAGGGGTGTGTCCATGGTTTTAGAATAGTGAGCGCTATGGGTCTCCTGGAGTGAAGTGAGAATCCAACAATGACTTATTAAATAAGTGGTATAAAAATATATATGAATATCTCTAAGTGAACATCTTATAATGTGAAATAAAAATTGCTAAAGTGATATGTGAATAAACAAAACAAAAATCCACAATGTAAATCGACTAATAAAATTGCTTAAATATAAATAAACAAATAAATCTTCAATAAACCGTGTGAGGTGTGTCCATGCCTAAATATAATGTGCCAGAAGGTGTCCCTTTTTCTCATCTTAGAAAGTTCAGGAGGTATGGATCCATCATAGGGAAGCATGCAATTTAAAATCCTCCCTACAAACAGCGACATTTACATTTCCAGCCATCACAGATTCTCTTTCAAGTGTGGAATATGGTGGGTTACAGGGGAGGGATCCCATCTATTAGTTTGATAAAGTAGGACACAAAGTTAAAGCAGAGAGTAAAACCTATCCTGCAAATATTTCATATTTTGTGTTTTACTTAGACAACTCTGCTGTGATTAGCTATTTATGGCTTGGCTGGAAAGAGAGAAGATTGCTTGAAAATACTTAGTACTTAGAAAATACTTAGCCTTGTGTGTCTTTTCCTAGTGTGTTCCTGGATGATTTCCTAGCAACTGGAAAAGTGGGGGACCAGGACCCACAGCTGGAGTTTGAGCAACTTCCCTTCAATCACCCCTTGTATATTATGTACTCATCTGGTACTACTGGAGCCCCCAAATGTATGGTGCATTCTGCTGGGGTGAGTATTGCCTACAACTTCTCTTCTGTTATAAACATACAAGCAGTTCAGAGAAAACCCCTCAGGTTGTAGAGTTCTCACCTACCATATCGTGTGCCTGTTTATTTGTATTAACCACATCGGTCTTTTTCAAATCTAGATACATTTACATTTATATTATATAAGTAGCATTATATATAGCAACATATTTATTACTGTTTTCCTGTCATGATTAATAGTCATAGGAATGTACTATACATCATCTTTAATGCTTGCTGTCATATATTTAGCCTGACATCATCACACCAGGCTGATAAATATACCCCCTGTCCATGATGTAATCAAGGACTGAGATGCCCCGCAATTTTTTTACACCCTGTTGGCAGTGTTTACGTTTGCTAATGTCACAGTTCATGCTTTCACATGAGCATCATTATAGATATAAAGGCACAATACTGTCATAAGCAATCCTCAGTTGGCCTGGATGTACGCTTTCATGCTGAAACACAAAGTACTGTCTTAGCCTTTTCAAGATTGGGAGTCTCTAGATTTAAGATCCTGTGATGTGAAAGTTTCCCGTTTCCACAACAGGGTCACAGAACACTCCTCAAATAATGAAATCATGTACATAGGTTTCTAGAGAACCTGTAATACCACCGGGCTCTGTGTGTGCATGCTCATTTTCAGCTTTGTAGGTCCAAGGATGGTTGTGTAATCTGTGTCCATTGTAGCTGTTCCACAAGCCATTATGAGAGCTATAAATTGCTGATGCTATAGGCCATTCTAAGACTTTAAAAGATAACTAAATATGCTGATAGCGCAGAGCAGCACCACAGCGGGGAAAGATTCAGACAATATTGTCAGGATCCACCCACTACCTGATTGACAGTTGGCCCTGCCTCTCTAGAGCCAGAGCCAGCTGTGCCTGTCCCCTCCCCTGTCCCTCCAGGCAGCGCTAGAGGAAAAGAGAGGGGCGGGGGGAATTCCTGCGGGGAGCAGTGACTGACGGTCACCCCTCTCTGCAGAGCGCAGTTGATGAACTCAGCGGTATGTGATTGCTTCGTTATCGATCTATAGAGCCGATGTGTGACAGCTTCAGTGCCCCACGTTGGCTCTAACTATTGGGATGAGTGTATTTTACTCATGCCATAATTCTCCTTTAAGTATTCATTGAGCTCTATTGCCACACTGCAGACCTTTATAGTTGGCTTTCGCTATCAGCTGAGCATACAGATTTTGATACTCATTTTTTTTTCTCCCAGGCCCTTTTATGCTCAAGGCTTAGCTGAAATTGTAACTTCTGTGATACAACTATCACCCCCACAAGCCTGGTGTCAGTCCCACCATGTCACCAGAGCATTGGAGCTGAGTTTAGAGGCTTATTCTCTTTTTGTGACAAATGGATATACTGTATGTGTTTATATTCTATAGAATCTGTTACCTGGTGTAATTGTATCTGTCACATCCATTGAAGATTATTGTTGTCATTGCTCTGAAGATCTTAAAATGCAGAAACAAACAGTTATCTCAAACCATTTGCTTCTCTGACAATACGTCAGCAGAGCAGACGATGTGTGAACGGCGCACAGGTCTGCCTGCTGACTGCAATGTGAAATCTCACCTACAGAGCTGCTGTGTCCTCAGCACTTCCGTGAGACATAAGCTGCGTCTTTAACCTGTTCAGTACAGATCCAGTCTACAAATTACTTCTATATGGCATGGGCAAATGAAAAGGACTAGCTATTTCTGACCCACCCCCCATCACATATATCACATGTATTGTAGTCTTTAACAATTGCATTACAGTATAGCCATGCCCCATACCAGAATTATTATAGAGGCCCACGGCTATCCACCTAACAAGGTATAATGCTAAATACTTTTATTACAGTTGTTTGAAGGCATCTAAAGTATATCTGTTAGCTTTATAATAAAATATTCAACTATTACTATATTTGTTCTGAAACTTATATTCTGCCAACAGTGTTGAGTCCTCTAGGACAGAGTTTCTCAAGGCACCCCAGTCTAAAATGTAAAAGATGTAAATGTGAAAAAATGACACAAGGCTCCTCAAAATCCTATCATAGATAGGAGTCTGGCATGGATTTTAAAGACACAAAACAAATAAAACATAAACAAAAAAGACATTGTATTTCCCTTGTTACATTAGATTCCCCCTTTTACATCAGAAGCCCTCCTTTACCATCAGCAGCCCCCTTCACATCAGAGCCCCCCCTCCACACACTTTTACATTAGGAGCCCTCTTATACATCACAAGCCCCCCTTCACATCTGAGTCCTGTATTGTAATCTTCTCCACAGTGTGGTTGTGACAGCATGGCAGAGGACGGGTTGTGGAGCAGGTCTGGACGGAGGCAGACTTCTCTCCTCTTCTGAATGTTGGTGGAGGTCCTAGATTCAGCCCATCCTGGATTAGCATCATGTGTTTTCATGGTGCTAGTGGCCGGCTCATCTGCACCATGATAATGCATGACACTGAAAATTTAAAGGCACCCCTGACAAAACCAGAAGGCACCCCAGGATGCCGGGACACCCTGGTTGAGAAAGGCTGTCCTAGGGACATGGGCATCCTTATAGCTATATGGTCTCAGGTGGCTGTATTGATGCAAATAATATTTGGGATTTAATCATAAGAATTAAACATTGAACTGTAGGCCTGCAGTTATCCCCATAATTTGATTTTAAAGATGTAATAAAAGAAATAGTATTTTTTTTTAAAATTCTGCCGAAGTGTGAATACTTGGCTGTGGGTGGAGATTCCTAAGTGGATCTGGGATCTCAGTTCTGACATACCTAGGGGGTCCTGATATTCATTGTGCCTGCATTGCTGAAATGATTGTGTGTATTGGGGCATTGCACAATCCTGCTTGCTCCTATAGGCACTATGTTTAGTATTATGCATTATATTGTAAAGCGCTGCGCAAACTGTTAATAATAAAAATAATAATAATATACAATATACTCGCCTAGCTGCTGCTTAAAAGTGTTTCTGTTTAAAAGTAATGTACTGGGAAATGTTTGGGTTCTATAGGGTTACAGTAACGGTGGACAAGTCTTCCTGATTTGCACATCCTAACAGTGATTCTAAATGACTCCTGAAAAACCATCCACTATTGCACAGGTTTTGAATGCCATAAACAACACTTATACCATATGTCTCCTATTAGAGAAGTTTTGCTAAACTCTTACATGTGGTTTTCTTTGATTAATTTGTACCCAAGTTAGTGATGCAACTTTAGACCGCAACTGTACATTACAATATTCTAATGTGGGTTTTTTTAAATGTTATTTTAGGGTACCTTGATCAAACATTTGTCAGAGCATATGCTGCATGGAAATACTACGAGCAGTGATATCATCATGTACTACACCACGGTAAATTGACATTGCAAAATGTGCTATTTAAAGAAGTGGGTGTTTGACACTACTTTATGTGGGTCTACATCAGCGGTTCTCAACCTGTGGGGCACGACCCAAAAGTGGGTCGCAACCTATTGTTGAGTGGGTCGCCGCGTCCATTTCTGCTGCGCCGGGTGAGAGCCTCCTCAGCCTCCCCCTTGCGCTGCAGTGTCAGTCAGCGGGAGGACAGTAACGGCTGTGAATATAAAAGTGCCGCTGTACACACTCCCTGGCCGCTGCAGCGACATCTAGTGGCCGGGGAGTGTTTACAGCAGGACTTTTCTATTCACAGCCGTTGCTGTCCTCCTGCCTCCCATACAGTGCGGGCTCTGCAGGAGGCGGGCATCTTAGCAGTGCTGGGGCTGGCTGAGAAGGCTGCATGGAGACAGAGCAGGCAAGCAGGTAGCAGGGGCTGGGGAGGGCTTGCATTCTTGTGAGTGTGCTTCTATTTTTATTTCTAAGTCCAGTGTGTTGCTAAGTCCTGAGTCCAGGGCATTACTAAGTCCTGAATCCAGGGCATTACTAAGTCCTGAGTCCAGTGCCTTACTAAGTCCTGAATCCAGTGCCTTACTAAGTCCTGAATCCAGTCCGTTACTAAGTCCTGAGTCCAGTGCAATACTAAGTCCTGAGTCCAGTGCAATACTAAGTCCTGATTCCAGTGCCTTACTAAGTCCTGACTCCAGTGCATTACTAAGTCCCGAGTCCAGTGCCTTACTAAATCCCGAGTCCAGTGCATTACTAAGTCCTGAGTCCAGTGCCTTACTAAGTCCTGACTCCAGTGCATTACTAAGTCCCGAGTCCAGTGCTCTGTTGGGGGTCACCACAACTTGGCAAATGTTACCAAGGGGTCCCGTCCCTAGAAAGGTTGAGAACCACTGATCTACATGCACTATTAAAGCCTAACCCCAGCCAACATTTCTCTTTTAGCATTGGGAATTCGTTAAAAGTTAGGTTTTTATTTCTGTTTGTGACTCGCTGATATTATATGTTTTGTTTTGCAGAATTTCAGTTTTTCAAAACAGGATTGATACTTTGTGGTACAATTAGCTTGACACATGGTAATATGGATGTGCTTTTCTACAGGCAGGATGGATGATGTGGAACTGGCTGGTTACAGCTATAGCCACCGGAGCGTCAGTGGTGCTCTATGATGGGTCTCCTCTTGTTCCTAATCCCAACGTACTTTGGGATCTGGTGGATCGACTGGGGTGAGAATTGTTATTCAAGTGTATGATAGATGAATGTAAAGATGCAATAGGGATGCATACCACTTTAGGCTCGTCTGCCATCAGACTCATCAGGGCTGGATGCTAGAAAACATCTGGGCACATCCAACCCTATATAATTGCATGTAGGCAAGCCACACTCATTCAAAAATAACTTTAATGCTCCATGTAAGGTGTTTCTGCGCCAGACTCCTCAATTTAAATGTAGAAATGTCACCAGCACACCAGAATCCTTTTAGCATAGCAGAATGTTCATTTATTTGAAGTTCCGTGCTGGGTCCCTTCATCAGGCTTAGCATTGACGAGTCATTCACAGAGATTTACAGGGTGAATGGCTCTGCAAATTGTTTATAAATAGACCCCCAGGTCTTCCTTTATTCAGTGTATGCCCTGGATCAGGAGCACACAGAAAAGGATTTTGGAGAACAAAAGTACCTGCAGGCAACTTGTGGTGCAGCACCGTTGTCTTACAAATGTAAACCTGACTGGTTTGCTTTAATCTAGTTGCAAACAGGCTGTGTTTAAGAATAATGGTAAATCTGCTACAGACACCAACTATTTGTCTTCAGATCTCTTGTGCCCACAATCCAATTAATCTGTACAGAGCACTAGAGAAGTAAACTCTGTACTGCTGATCAAACTGAGTTCACCCCAAAAGGGAGCTGCTTTATAATTCAAATGTGTTAACCTTTAGTAATTGTACTAGGATGTTATGGACATGCTATGATAGTGATATAACAAAAAACATAATGGGCTTTATTTAGTTGCATAGGCCCCATATCAGTGTAGTTCACTCTTAGCGATTGGCTCTCTGTGTTCAATGTAGGCAGACAATTAAGGGGTTGCTCTGTGTATGTCACATGTGGCAGATTGGACTGTATCTGGCTATCTTGTTTGAATTCTGCAGCTTGTTTAATAGCTTTCCTGCTGTCCTAAAAGTGTATTACTGCAGTGAAGTATAGTACACCTCCACAGACATAACAGAACGCACCGTATATGATCATATTCATTTTCACATGCTGTGTGCTGTATGAATTGCTTGTCTGTTCATGTCAGCTGCTCTGAAGATGATATGTGCTTCAATATTTGCCCAGATAACAGAAATAAGATCAGATCAAGGCTGTATTTTCTTCATGTTGTGGGTATAAGTGGTTCCAAATAAAGTCCCAGCATATGCTGCCCTGGTTTAACATCACCGTTGTAATAGTAATGCATATTAGAGTTGTTTTTAATAATACAATCAAAGTTTACTTGAAAACATCTTTTATGAGAGTGCTGCCTCCTGCTTTGTTCATCACGTTCAACAACTCCTAGGATTCCCATTGTGCTTTCCATCTCTTTCCCTGCTGCTTGACATTATGCAATCTTGATTTCTCAAAACCATATATCCCATAATGCATTGCTTCCAGCAAGCAATGCTAATGTTACATTGTTCAGACATTGACTTGTAGTTCAGAAGGCAGGCTCTGTGAGAGTTATGACACACAATGCATTGAGGAAGTACATCCTATGCACATATGTAATAAGTAAGTTTACAAACTTGGTGATGGATATGGTTATTAGAAGTGGATAGAACTTACGTAAATTCAATATAGAAATATTTATTTTTAGTTTTTGTCCATAGATACCCTTTAATGTAGCATGTTCCATTTTCATCCAGCAAACATCAGTGCATTCTGTTGGTTTGCTCTGCCCTATTGGAATCAATGAATTTCAGCTTGTCATTGCATCATGGCTGTGTTAAACAATGCAGCCCAATGCACATAGTGTGAATGGGCCCTAACAGTTCAAATTTAGTATGTTATCCTTGTCTGTGTGGGGGGCCATGAACTGGTAGCAGTCAGCCTGTAGTGATAGATCCATTGCTGTGCTGGATACCTTCTGTATCAGTCATCGCTTTAAATCTTACTGGGAACAATGACGCAGATGATTGTTCATGCTCTTAATAGAAGGACAGAACTCTGCAGAGAGCTTTCTATGTCCTGAACCTTCAGTGCATTGTATGATGGTAGTAAATGAGTCACTGTGCTTATTTTATTCTGCTTTGACATCTCTGCAGCATTTCCCTTGTGACATTTAGCTGAGCACCCTGATAAAAGGTTACGTCCCACAGAGATGGTTCTTTCCACTGAAAGGTTAATGGAATTGTAGTGATACTATTGGGTTTAAAAAGCTGCCCAAATCTTACGTTCTCTAATCAATGTTTCATTCACAAAGGACACATTCGAATTGTTATTATTTCTAAGACTTTTTAATTTCTATTTTCTAACCTTGGTATGAGACCGAGCAGGTATGATCACAGACTGAAAGGAGAGCAATAGGTTTGCAGGCTCAGCAGCAAATACACGAATGTTCATATGCTATAAAACAATAAGATTCCTGAATGTTTACTGTGAAGGTCTGCTGCATAAGTACAGTATTGTGAGTGATAGAATTCTGGACCCAGTTTAAATGGAATGGCGCTATTGCTAACTGATTTTCAAAGATACAAGAAGCTCTAGGACAGTAATCCTCATCCTTACTTTACTACGTAAAGTTACTGACCTTTTACAGTAATAACATTTTTTATTGATTTATCATAAATATCAGCATATAAACAGTAAGCAGCCATTTACATATATCCCTGTACATATGCATATTTCCCCCTTATACATGTCTACGTGTCTTTATAAATGCACTTGCATCCTGGATATCATATTATATCTCTTATAGTGTTATTCTCGCTCATTATGACTGCATACTTTAATATAATTCCTTTATATATCTATATTTACCCCCCCATTATTTCTTTTTCCTTGGAGCAAGAACTTCTGTCCATTGAGATATTTGAGGTATTGACCTTTTAAAGTGTATGGAAAGCACATTTTTAAAAAAGATTTTGGATACAGTAGGAAAAGAGTTTAAAGCCTTGTCAGGTTATTTTGTGCTATCTATTTTCAGTTGCAGTGATTTCCATTCACTTCTTGCCTTGGAAACGCAACAGGAAATATTATTATTTAGGGATGCACTTATACTATTTTTTCAAGACAGAGATACTTTTCCTCAAGTACTCGCCGATACCAATTACCGATACCTTTTTTTTCTCTTTTTTTTAAGGGTCATGTGACAGTTTTTGTAAAACAATACAGACTAATGATTTTAAGACAGTCGTAGACCACCAGTGCCCAGTCCCAGCTGCAACTGCTGCGACCCTGGTAGTTCTGCCATTGACTCCAAGCTGTAGAGGGACTACAAATCCCAGCAATACATTATATAGCAATACAGAATACCATCAGCTATAGATTACTTATATAGCAATGCAGAATAATATGAAGCTACATACTCTGTGTTGCTCAACAGGGCTGTGCAGTCTCTGGATGCAGTGCAGGGTTTCATCCGGGGCTGTTACGAGGTCTCAGGAGGCTGTGCGGGGTCTGACCAAGAATGTGCATGGTTTCACCAGGGCTGTGCAGGGTCTCACCAAGGCTATGCAGGGTCTCAGGAGGATGTTCGGGGTCTCCCCAGGGCTGTTACGAGGTCTCAGAAGACTGTGCAGGATCTGACCAGGGATGTGCGTGGTTTCACCAGGGCTGTGCAGGGTCTCACCAGGGTTATGCAGGGTCTCAGGAGGATGTTCAGGGACTCAACAGGGCTTTGCGGGATCTCAGGAGAATGTGCGGTGTCTCACCAGGGCTGTGCGGGTTATCACCAGGGCTGCGTGCGGGTCTCGCCAGGGCTGCGTGCGGGTCTCACCAGGGATGTGTGTGGGTCTCACCAGGGCTGCCGAGAGGTCCCCAGCAGGCACGGGACCTTACGGCAGCCGCTCCTGTTTAAAAATGTAAAGGGCCAGTATCGGCTTTTAGTATCAGGGCATTTTCACGAGTACGAGTGAGCATGCCCAGTATCGGCACCGATACTGGTATCAGTGCATCTCTAACATCTTTTGTTAGTACATTTTGTGTCAAATGGCTTCCCTAAAAGTCTGTCTATGTATACTGGGTTAACAATTTGACTTTATGGGATGTTGTACCTTCCAATCTAACCGATAAATTCTATTGAGAGGACAATGGGCAGCAGGACAAATAGAGGGTAAATCTCCCCTGCGGAAGCGCAAACAGCAATACAAATCTTTAGAGGGTCTAGTCCTTTCCCACTCTATCCAAAAGTGAAAAAAGTTTCAGCCAGTGCAGAGCCGGATCACCTGATGGGTACGTGTGACAATGACATTTCAGTATTTGTCTCTAGGTCCACAATCATGAGCATTGTTCACGTCCTTTGTGTCTTGCTATGGTGGTGCTATTTACTCAGGTGGGGTTAAATTCTGCACACAATGAAAATTAACAGGATCCCTCGAGTGATGGCTTAAAGAGAAGGATTGGGAGTGTAAAATATACTCTTTCCAATGCTTAGAGCTGGCGTGCAGCTGTCATATGCTGTCTCTAGATTGAGAGCTGATTGATCATGAACCACTGATCGCTCAGCTCACAGTCTTTTCCATGCAGAGAGCATTGACTCTCATTGGTAAATGTCCTCCTGTGACCAAAACAAAACTAAAGCCAAAAAAAGGTTTGGCTTTAGTTCTCTTTTAAAGCAAGGGACAGGACATCTCTCACTCTACTGCTTTGTTCTCCATACATTAGATTCCACATACCTGTCTATCTATTTTGCCAACACTTGTGGTACAAGAAATGCTGGCTTCAGTAAAAGCAATGATGTAATATCCGCTGGTGTACCTGCAGGATTACAGTAATCACTCAGTACTTACTGCTGCCTAAATACACTTTGTAAGATAAATATACCTGCTGTCCTTGCCTGCCTTGCTGAAATGTGATTTTATTTTAAAGGATAACTATTCTGGGAACTGGAGCCAAGTGGTTGGCTGTCCTAGAAGAGAAGAATTTAAAACCTCGTAAGTTGCATTTTATTGTTGTGCCTACTGCCTAGCCATTTAAAGGAAATGTATGTTTAAGACTAAAGAATAACTATTTTAATAATATTTTTTTTTTCCAGTCAAGTAAATATAGAATATTGCATATCAATAGTTCACAGTTACACTTTCAGCCAGCTGATGGCACTATAGGCCAGGGCTGGACAAATTTCAGGAGCTATGTCGCAAATGCTCCTTAAAAATCACAGCTGGTGCATAACTTTTAAGTTTTTCTCTAGTTGTCAATTGAGCTGGCTCCCAAAAAAAATCCTGCTGGCTCCTGGACTGGACAGACTGGCACATCGCACTGTGTACTTTTTTATTTTAAGAGCTTTATTGAAATTTCATAGGTGACATATCAATAAATTTCCCATAAAACAAGTGACGTTTCATTACGTTCTATGGGTATGGTGTAGTGCCAGGCAGTTGTACTGTGTTGCATCCCGCTTTGCTAAAAAAAAAGAACTGCATGCAGTACTTTTTTTCAGATTACACCACGATGTTCCACCGCAACACGATGGTGTGAAAAGTGTACAAGGCAGATTGCTTTGTTTAGAATTGGGGCTGCACTGGTAAAAATGGCCCCCACAACTCCAAAGTATCTGGTGTGAATTTACCCTTAAAGGTGAAGGCTTTATATGTTGGATGAGGTAGGGGGGTGGCTGGGGTTTTTCAGACCAAAGTTTTTGTCACACAAAAATATCTTTTCACGTGGTTAATTTTTTTTTTGAACAGGTGAAACCAACAGCCTGCAAACACTTCACACCATACTATCAACTGGATCGCCACTAAAGCCACAGAGCTATGATTATGTTTATAAGCATATAAAAAGCAACGTTCTTCTTGGATCCATCTCAGGTAAAAATTTCAGGTTTGTTTTTTTATTCACATATGTTTATGTATTTATTTCTTATTGTCAGAGGTTATCTATGTTTTATTTTATGAAGAAAGAAAACACAGTGTACCTGTGCATACTTGAGGCAGTAAAACAAAATCACCCAGAAAGTACTAAAGTCCAGTGTATAGACCCAACAGAAGACTGAAAAGATACAGTGCACATTTAAGATCTTGATGAATAAAGTTTTATTTTTGTTTTACAAATTCATGCATCAAAAACAATCTAATTCCACCTATTAGGGTGATGAAGTACCTGCGTGATATGAATCCAGTCAGCATTGCTTGCTTTTGATTCCTGGATGTTTTAAAAATGTTTGATTATTGGATCTATTGCTTTTCCATCTTGAAGCACTTTCTGTATAAATCTTATTAAAGCTTAGTAGCCTAACTAGTTAGACTCCATCTTGCACTAATTTCTTAGTAAACAGGAATTTGATTTGTTATTAGGTCTTACAGCAGCATGAGCATAATCACTACTGTTTGCTTCATTAAGCTTGTATGTGTTCAAAGGGTAACTATAATTTTAAAACTCATTAGAAGTTTTCATATATTCAGGGATACCTATCAACTTCAAAAATGTAACATCTTATCTCTGTATTTTCTGTCCCTGCCAACCTCAGCCCAGGGCTGCTTTGTTTGCATTTAGAATGGTTGTGTTTGCCTTGCAATTTCATCCAAGCAGTAAAGGTAACAAAGTAGGCGTGTGCTCCTGTTTGTTTAAAGGAAAAGTATTGGGAGAGTAAAATGTACTCTTCCCAATACTTTGAGCCGGAGTGTGACAACAGTATTGTCAGGTTCCTTCACGGCTGCAGCTTGGCTCTGCGCTGTCAGTATATAGCGGACAGTAGCTTTAGTTCTCTTTTAAATGTATTTACTGAGAGAAACCATAAATAAATAGATCTATACTGGACTCATGTAACTCCTGCAAAAACAGATCACAAACTGCTAGAAGCAAGTAGCCCAATAAAAGTTTAGCTAAACCCTTCCCATCTCTGTGATTCCACATAGCCAATAGTGGAGAATCCCTGAATCCTTCCGTACCATTCCTTGTCTAGAATTATGTGTTAAACTGTAGCTAGTCTCATGCTGGAACTGCCTGCTTCTAGCAATTGTTTGTTATCTTCACTGAGGGTTTTATTGTGAAGCATGGACACATCTACTACTTGCAGGTCATAAAATAAATAATACTTTGTTCCTGTTGTAGGTGGTACAGACATTATAGCTTGTTTTATGGGACAGAATACTACCATTCCAGTATACAGAGGGGAAATCCAGGCCAGGAATGTGGCAATGGGGGTGGAAGCATGGAGTGAGGAAGGTAATTATTTTATAGTGTCAATCCAAAAGTCTTTCAGAAAACTTCCAATAGGTACATGTTGCTGTATGTTATTATAATACAAACATGAATGGTGCACAAACAATTGCTGCAATCTGCGTATGGTAGATTTGAATAATCTAGTGTTTTGATGTTAATGAATGCACTTTTTACGCACTGCTGTATCTGTTCACTCTTTACACTGCATCATTGATAGAACCCAGTATGTTTTATTATTCAGTCTTGCAATAAAGTTGTAGGATTATGTTTGTTTGATATGGGCAGGACAGATTTGTCCAAACTTTATCCATGTTGGCAGGGGCCTAACTAGAAATCACGGGGCCCATAGCAAAATTTTGTATAAGGCCCTGTGATTTCTAATTATGCCCCTTGCAGAGCCCACCTGAAAGTGACCCTGCAGAGCCCCCCATAGACCATTATGGTGGGCTATGCAGGGTCTCAGTTGGGCTGGTCACACCCCTGCTCACCTCTTACCTGTCAGCCCCGATCCGCTGTCAGCCTTCTCCACCGCCGGGCCCCGCCTCCTCCACAGCGGCTATGAGGAGGAACGCTCCGCTGCACAGATCACTGACGGGTTGTCAGTGATCTAGACAGCGACTCGTTCCTCCTCACAGCCGCCAGTGACAGCCAGCAACCTGCAATGCCATAGCAATCCAGGCAGCCTGCAAGGCATCAGGGGAGACCCCTTTGTTCCTGGCCGGGCCCCCCTATGCCCAAGGCCTCATAGCGGCTGCCTGAGTCGCTATGGCGATAGTTCCACAACTGCATGTTGGGTTAAAGTAATTGCTCTAGTGAATCAGGAGGGCTGATAAAAAACACATTTGCCTGATGTTGCTAGTAGATGATAAAGTTTAGATGATAAAGAAGCCGTCCAACATTTAAATATATTTTTTTAATTTTTCTTTGTTTGGTATCTTTTATGGTTATGTGTTACGACGCATTAAATAATATTAAAATACCAAAAAAGAGAATAACAAGAAAAAAATCTCAGTTTGAGTCTTTATTTAAATGTACAAATTTGCTATCTAGACTCAAATACTCCCCACTTGTCTACAGAAATGCTGGCAAACAAATACTCAATGTCATTTTAAATCTATAACAATCTTAAAAAGTTTAAAACCACCTTAAACCACCATAATTTTGCCTTCTTCGTTGACTCTTAAGTCCCTGTTCACACCTAGGCATTTTGATGCTCAAAGCTAAGCTAAGCAAAACTCAAACGCAAGAAATCCCATTCATTTCTATGGCCCCTGTTCTCACCTGAGAGTTTTGTTTAAAGCTGTCAAATGCTGAATGCTGGAAAGTGTACATGAGGTTTTTTTTGGCAGATAACAGCGCGTTTGGCCGCCTAGAGTTCAATGGAAATGCCTAGAAACGCACAATAGAAGCGCTTTGAACGTTTTCTGTGCGTGTTTTTGCACGCGCTTTGTCCATTCACTGCAATGTATTTCAAGCTGCACGTAAAAATGCACATCTTCATGTGCGCATGTTTTAACGTACGCAAAAATTTGCAAAACAAAAACACACTAGATGAAAAGGCTAGACCAAACTTGCGCTAATATGCGTGAAAACACTAATGCCTAGGTGTGAATGGAGCCTAATGCATTATGCCTATAGAGGAAATATTATCATAACTTCCCAAAGGTTGCCAATTTTGTTCATGGCAGCTCCTGACCATAAACAATTGAGAAAATATGTACACACAAAAAGTGAGGTCTTAATTTGTATTGAAGTTATAGTCTATCACGGGAGCAAAATTGGAGCGGTGGCTACTTTACAACACACACACAGGGACAATGGGGAATAAAAGTAGCCACCCTCCTGAATGAAGGACAACAGAAGAATCCTGCAATGAAAGCTCATCCTTTGTGCCTCGGGAGATTCGAAACCCAGTGGAGTACTCATTTGGCATCCCTTGACATCCTCAGTGAGGTGTCGTCTGATCCTCAGCTGCTAATATAGAGATTATATTGTGTTGTGGATGTCAGGGGCTGTCAGAGCTCTGCCTTGATTCTGAATTCAAAGTTTGCATGCAGCATGCTTCCAGGCAGACCTTTCCTGAAAACAAAAACAGAATTAGGAGCTATATGAAGTTTATATCTTTGTTTTATTGGCACATTCCTTTTAGCAGAAGTTTGTAGTGGACTTGTATATATATTTTTAAATATAATAACAAAATATGTAGTCTTCTATACAACCCACAGGTGGAGCTCTAGTGTCTTTTTTACAAGGTTACCTTTTCAGTTTTCAGTGCTGCTGAAAGAAGCCTCGTGTGTACAGAATTCAGTAGCTCAAGTGGAATGAGTCACAGGGATGGCTCACCCTTTATCAGAAGGCTCAGTACTTTTATCAGATGGCTTAGTCCAAAGTTTTGGTCACACAAACAAAGCTATCAAGCAAGCATCATCTGCCATGGCTAAACCTTTACCTAACCCCTAGTGCTCTAGGAAAGGTCACACTTTATTTGTTTAGGTTTCTGCATATTATTATTTCACAGCCTGAGCAATAACGCAAACAAAAAAATTAACTTTATTTTTGTGAAGTGTCTTAAAATCCCATTTTGATTCTGAGTCACATAAACGGTTAACATCCTGACATAGCAACACAGAGTGTAAGAGTTGTGCATTTGTTGTGTCATTCCATTCCACTCCCCTGTGAAGGTGTTAATATCAGGTTTGCAATGAATACATTTAATTAAGTGGGTCACACTAAACAGTCTTCTTTCGAACATTCTATCTGTGAATCAGATATGTTTATGCCAACCACATTTACATAGCACACAAACGTGTCTTAATAAATTCAGCAAGCTTCTGCAGTTCTAATGCTGATTGCTGGTTTAAAGGGGCTATTTCTGGCTGAAAGGAGGTGATATCACTAACCGCTGTTTGCTGGACAACGCATTGATTACTCCACACTGTTCCTGCATTTTATGAGCTAATTAGCCGCAATGTCCAACACAGTTATAAAGAATACTCCATGATTAGGAGGAGAGGCTGGTCACATGTGACTGGTTGCGTGACCGTGCTGCCTACTGCCAGGCAGGGCCGGATTTGCTATCTCTGTATCTCCAAGGCCAGGTCGTCCCCCCTCAATGGGGAATGGCAACCAGATGGCGGAGGTGGCAGGGTTGGTTTAATTTTAATTAATTTTTTTCTTTATTATTTTTTTACTTTTTTATCACTTCTTTTTTTATTTTAGTTTTTATTTCTTAAAATGTTTATATTATTATGTTTTACTTTTTGTTTTAAATTTTTTTTATTTTATAATTAAGATTCAGTTTTGTTAATAGTTAATGTACTTGAATGTATTTCTAAGATTTAACGCCAGAGTTTAGTGTCACTTTAAGTCCTGAAGCAAGCAGAGTGTCGTTTACATACTAAAGTACACCACTGTGCTTTATAAATGTGTTGCTGTTTTAAAAAAATGTAAAGCATGCGATAAGGCCATACCGCTGCTTTATGAATGGGGCTATAAGAAGGAGTTGCACATTCAGTTCATTATATGGCAATAGTACATGATGTTTGCAGTGTCCTTTCTCGGTACAGGTCGAAATGGCATTAAAGTGACATAGCATGAAAGGTAATTGTGTGAAATGGTTTATGCCAGCCAATCAAAAGTTGGACTTGGTCAGTTTAGTAAAGTGACTTAAAGCAAACCTGTGCTTTTCTTGTGCAGAGTAAAGAACCAAGTCCACTATCCTTCTCTCTCCCCAGCAGCATACGCTTGCCTTCTCTTTGCTAACTTTAACACTATAGGGTATATTCACTAAGCTGCCGTAGGCAGCCGAGTAAATGACCGACCTGAAGTGAAGTGAGCCGAACACTGTTTGGCTATTCACTTCAGGCTCAGCATAAGTAAAAAAAAAAAAAAACCCTCTCCCGGGCACTCTGGGAGCCTCCCGGCCGCCCAGGAGAGAAACACTGCTGTGTCTTTTTTTCTTTGTTCTGACACGAGCGATGTCCGAATAGAAAAAAAAAAAAAGAGAAATTTTCCCATTGAAAAGCATTGGGACATTACTATTATTATTATATTATTATTACATAGTATGTATATAGCGCCAACAGTTTGTGCAGCGCTTTACAATGTAAGGTTGACATTACAATAACAATACAATTCAAGACAAGATGGTAAGGAGGGCCCTGCCCCTGAGGGCTTACAATCTGAAAGAGGAGGGGGAAATTATACATGAGGAGGTAGCTGTGTGGGGATGAATTGTTTGAGAATGGGATGGTTCAGTGGTTAGGTTGAGGAGGGATTGAGTAAACTATGAGTAAACTAGCATTGTACCCACCCTCTGCTGATGGACCTGATAGGGAACTGCCCTATGTCCCAATGCTTTTCAATGGGAATTTTTTTTTCTTCTATTCTGACATCGCTCGTGTCAGAATAAAGAAAAAAAAACTTGCAATATAAGGAAGACATTACAATACAATTCAAGACAAGATGGTAAGAGGGGCCCTGCCCGTGAGAGCTTACAGTCTATTATACAGATTTCTCTGTTAGTTTATTACTTGCTGACTGAGTCACTTTGGGGAGATTTGCCCTCACTTCCAGTCCTTGCGATGCAACACGAAGTGAGAAGAAATATTTACAAAGTGAAGGGGATTCCCTTATTTAGAAATTGTTAACTGATCAGGTGCCCCCGTTGGAAGATATACCCTCACCTCTTGTTCTGGTCACTTTCAGTCTCAGTGACAATGGTCCCCAGGCAAATAGAGAGGGTGAATCTCCCCACTGGGTAAGCAGATGGCAATAAAAATGTGGCAGGGTTTCTAATCCTTCCCTAAAGAGTTTTGGCTATACACCTTGGGAAAACCTTTTTATTTGCTGTGCATTGGCTGTGCCCTACATGTCCATGTGTGGTTGGTTACTAGGGATCCTTATTTTGCTCATACCACTGTTATCGAATGAAGAAACATTTTCTTTGACAATAACTTTTATTGTTCTTATTTTACACATTTTAATGCTAATATTCTCATCTAATTATGCAGATAGATGTTCATCCATTCTCTATTTCTCCAGGAAAAGCAGTGTGGGGGGAAAGTGGAGAACTAGTGTGCTTAATTCCGCTCCCGTCTCAGCCCACACACTTCTGGAACGATGAAGATGGCAGCAAATACCAGAAAGCGTACTTCTCCAAATTCCCAGGTACCACATTAAATCGAGCAATGTTAATGAATAAACACACGCTTGAACCACAAGCTCTCCGCTGTAATTAGAAAGCACATATAGGCAGTAGGTGGTTGTGTTTGACCAAAAGTCAGTCGGGAAAAATGCATTTAATACGTTATAAAGTACTTAATGAGCCGGTATATACATATCAGCCTTTGAGTCTACCATAGCAGAGTAATGAGACTTTATTAACGTATTGTGAACAAAAATGAACAGCAGTTGGGTGCATTTCTATCTCTACATGAAAGGTAACGTGCATTACTTTTTACCCTTATAAAAATAAAATTTAGTTTAAAGGTGAACTCCAGGAAGATATGAAAGGTGCAAATGAATGCAGTTCTGTAATAATGAATACATATTTTAAATGCAAGCAGTATGCACCTGTATTTGACCTGGTTTTGGCCATTTGCAGTCTACTGTATAGTTAAGTTTAGAGAAAACAAGGGATAAGCAGCACAAGGAGCCATTTAGGTGTTGTGCAATGCAAGGAGTATGCTGAGAGGAGAGGAGAATGACAGAGAGATGAGCTTATCAGTGTCCTGCTTCTCCTTTCACTGTTTGGTCACAAGGTGAGGGTGGGAAGGAGACCTGTAAGTGAAAGTTTTACTACAGCAGAGAAAGATCAGGTCATCTTCCCTGCCGGGCTGGACTGTACTGTTGCAGTGTGTACTTTTTAAGACTGAATGGATATAAATCCTCCAGCAGGTAAAAAAACACACTCACATAGGCATTTCTTCTGTGAAGTTAGCTGTTTGCCTGGAGTTCACTTTTACAGGAACTATAGTCAGATTCATCTTACATCACATCACATATAGGTCATGTAAAGTAAAACTTTGGTGCAATTGCTCACACTACAACAGCATCTAAAAACATAGAAGGGAATTTATCAAAACTGGAGCAAAGAAAATCTGGAGCAGATGCCTGTGGTAGCCATTCATCTTCTCTGTTTGATTATCAGAGCTTAACTGAACAAACTGAAGAGAGAAGCTGATTGGTTGCTGTGAGCTCCAGTTGTGACAAATACCTCCATAAAAATCTTATTCTACTTGATGCCAGGCGCTGGAGCTGACTTGAACCCAACTGAACTTTCTTTTTAAATCCACTAAATACATTCCGGGTGAATCAAAACAAAACATGATAAGGCCTCAGTCACGCGAGAAACGTCCGGCACGTACAGCTCCGGCACGTACATCACCGCCGTATTGTGCAGCTCCCGGGAAAGACAGGTGCTGCGTGTGATTAGTATGCAGCCCCTGTCCTTCTCCATGGGACTACGTGGCCGTACGCCACCCTACACTCACCCCAAGTGCAGGTCCGTACGGGTACGGGTGTCCTGGCTCGGAGGCAGTCTGGATCCATCCTGTCAGCATACGAGTATGGACACCCACACAGGCGTCCAGGGCGGGTGAGCGTAGGGAGGCGTAGCGGGTGAGCGTGTCCTTCCCGGGAGCTGCCGATACGGCCGTGCACGCATTACGAAGCTGTACGTGCCGGCCGTTTCTCGTGTGAATGAGGCCTTAAAGTATTACTATTCATTCTCTTTAGAAAGTGGCCACAGCCAGCAGCTCAAGAGCCGGACCTTTGCTTTCTCTAGGGAGCTCTGACGCACCCCTGAGTTAGACCCAGCACTCTTTAATCAGCTGACAGTTTCAGCTTTGCTGATTGTGGAGCAAGTGGTCTGACTCGGTAGGGGTGTGTCAGATCTCTACAGAGAGACCACTGCTGCCGCTCAAAGAGCAAGGGTGCTTTTCTGCAGCATGCTGGCATGGGATAGGCGTTTTCTGTAATAAAGAAAGAGTTTGGACATCCAAACTCATCCAGCTTTCCTGTATAGGGGACAGGCTTTTCTACTTGGGGTGTGGCTACGTTTTAAAGAAAATGTACTGTAAGACTTTGAACGTGTTCTTTTGTAAATGCACCAAGAATGTATTTGGTTGATTTAAAAATGGAAGTTCAGTTGGGCTTTAGACTGGCAACTCCACATTAAATTTAGGACTCCATACAAAGTAGATTATCTGTAATATTGTCACCTGGGTTGAAATATGTTGAAAAATAGACATCTAAAGGTAAGATCTGAACTTCTCTACAGTGGTTGAGTATAGAATGAACTCCTTATTACTTTGTGTTCTAGGTGTCTGGGCTCATGGTGACTACTGCAAAATTAACCCCAAAACAGGAGGCATCGTCATGTTGGGGCGCAGGTGGGTGAAGGCGGACATCGCACTGCTAGAAATCCACATGACTCAGGCCGTATCCACACCTGTATGCGAGGTGTGCTGCAGTTTAGCTGTGCTGTGGTTTTTTGCACACAGTTCTGGATCCAGTTGAAATCTTTTTTAATTCAAGGCATAAAACCAGTCATAGCAGCCTTCTAACTCGTTTCAGCCAAAAGAGGCCTTAATCATGATTAAGGCCTCTTTTGGTTGAAACACGTTAGGGAACTGCTATGTCCGGTTTTATGCCTCCAACTTCTGAGTGAATTGTGGGTCCTGGTGTGATTGAGAAGGGCAGATGTCCCTTGCTGTTTACGGGGGAACATCTGCTCATCTTTGGCCAGGCTAATCCGTTGCAATTGTATTGGCAGTGAAGTAGCCACTAGAGAATCTAGCTAAGTATACATTTTTATTCTGTGGTTAACTAAGAAAGGGTCCTAGCCTGTTCACAAAATGCTAAGGTGTGCATAGGCAAGGTACCACAGTTGGAATAATCTTTGTTTAGAATGGTCAGTACATAAATACAGACAGGGTTATTTACAAAAGGGTGAAGAGAAGGCAAGAGAAGTGAACAATCTAAAACAGTGATGGCGAACGTTCTTGAGCCAGAGTGCCCAAACTGCGACGCAGAATCAATTTATTTATCTCAAAGTGCCAACATTGAAAATAAATTTGGTATTGTCTTTTAGTTTGGGCCCTGGGGTTTAAATAACGTTCAGCATCACTGCCTTAGGCAAAATAGGGAAACACACACATTTAAACATTTAAACATTGTTTTTTTCTTTATTTTTTCCTTTTTTACATTGATGAATTTCTTCTGAGAATGCTAGTTTCCTGGCTGTCTCTGGCTTCAATACTTTGAGTCGCTAATCCAGAGCAGGCATCAGCAAGTGAAGTTTCAACACCTAATCTGCATATACTTTTTTGTCAGTGAGTCATAAAGGGGAATTGGAAACTGGAGCAGACTGAATCTGGAGGAGCTGTGCATAGCAACCAATCAGCCATCTTTTATGTTCAAGGTTTAACTGAATAAATTGAAGACAGAAGCTGATTGGTTACTATGGGCACCTACTCCAGATTCTGTTTGCACCAGTTTTAATAAATTTCCCCATAAAGCGTCTGGATCAGCATGACAGCCAGACAACTGTCATTTCCATAAGGTGGTGGAAATGCAGCTTTGTTTAATTTAGGAAAGGTTTCATTGTCACCCCTAAAACCCGGAATCCAGGGCAGGTAACTCTGAATTCCAGGCACAAAAACTTTATTTTAAATATTTTCTTCAAAAAGGATTTAAATCCATTTTGTGTGCACCAAATTCCTTTGCACACCTGGCCGTTACTTTGTAAAAGTAGAAGTGACATCATCACTGTGCTGCACATAACATGTTCAGGGAGCAGAGCTGTGGGAGGGACCCAACAGGCCCCACCCACTACAGACTGCCTTAAGAAAACTACATACGGTAGCTACTGAAAATCCTGATTAATATTTGCTTTTACCCTTAAGGCCCCTTTCACGGGGTCCGAACAGGAAGGGGATCTGTGTCTGATCATGCGCAATCAGGTCTTGCGAAACAGAACTCTGATCCATTTATTTTTCCGGACCTGGCTGGAGCCGGGGGTAACCGGATGTAAACGGATGCCCGTCTGTGTAGATCCCAGTTGCCCATAGACTAACATTGGGCTCTGACAGGCAGATCTGAACGGACTGCCATGTGAAAGGCCTCTATACTGGCAATACACCAGTAGAATTATCCTTCAAGAAATGTGTTTTTGAAACGTTCATTTGCTGATTTCATAATAGTTAATGGGGTTTTTGTGGCTTTTCTTGACTGAACGAACAGTGAATGTTAAAATCAAACGAATGACATTGATCAAGGCATGGTGCGCTCCGATGATGTGTTTGGCCTGTTTGGCACAAGCTTACTCAGCTGCTGTGTTTAGAAGCTGCTCATGCGTCACCCAAACGCAGCACCAGGGTACAGTACAGAGAGCGACCTGTATTGTGCAAGCATTGGCTAAACATAGCGACAGGAGTGTGCACATCAGGGTGGGTCCAGGGCGACCCTGCAAGTCAAAGCATCCACCCTGTAAGCAGAAACAGCATGCAATAGCGTTCAGAGGCTAGATTTTGCTGTAAAGATAAACAAAGGCACTGGAAGTGAATGTGATGTAAGGTATGCAGCTACAACGATTCTTTATTTTTTCTTGGAGGATTTAATAGCTCTCTAACATGTAACCAGCATTGTGTTTTATATAGGTGCAGTGTTTCTTCTGAACAGCAGAGAGCTGCAATCTCATAGTAAATCTGTCTCATGTCCGCTCTCACTGATCCTATTTTGCCTGCCTTGCTTTGCAGCAGAATGAATTAATACATTTTGATATTAGGTTACATCTTATTTACAAATTATTGTAAAAACATGTAGGAGAGCAGACGTACATATCGGCTAATCCCTTTTTATTTTGCAGCGATGGCACTCTGAATCCTAACGGGGTCCGATTTGGAAGCTCGGAAATCTACAATATAGGTAAATGTTCATCCGGTTTCTGTGAGGTGAATTATGTGTATTTCCACAACCCCTCCAGCCAGGGAATAGGTTAATTTTCTACATAATGGTAAAGAGGAGGTTGTAAAATAAGAAACTGTCAGAATTTTAAGTGGGAAGAAATGACTAATGTGAAGCCAAGATTTGTAATGCAGAAGTTCACTTCTGGGACTTGCTAATTAAACACATTTTCAGCATTCGGCTGCTGACTGGCTATACTAACAAAGCCATTATTACGTCTCCTGAATAGATACAGATTAGACTCCCACTGCTCCCCTCCAATTCCCTTTTACTCTTCTCCATCAGACATTAACTGCTGCTTATTACTGGGGCTTAGAGGATAGATCAGGTCACACAGTCATTATTGGAAAAAACCTCATTCAGCTGCAACTGCATTCCAAGTAGCAGGGATGCCAAGCATAGAAAAGTTCACACAGATGCTTGCAGTAACAGCATAATGCAGAGCAAACTAATGGAATAAGAAAATTACAAGAAGACCTCTGCCAAAAACAGTTTTTGGTTTGTTTTGCATGGAGGCGATGGAGAAAAATGTGTATAAGTCTACTCACATTGGCAAGTTCAGTGTAAACCTGCAGTGTGATAATGGTCCTTCTGTTCATTGTTCACTCCTGTAAAGAGTCAGATACAGCCAATGACATTGATTTCAGTAGTAAATCCGATAATAACCAAGCAGGTGGGAACAGCGAGAGCAAAATAACTCAAATTAACTGAAATGGATCTGAACTAGTACAAGCTACTGTCGTAGGTCTGACATTACATAAACAAAGAAGCATGGCTAACTACACAGATGAAATGCATTCAAGAGAGCTGTTTTACCAACCTGTGACTGGACAGTGAAAGATGGGGCAGGAGACTGATTAGCTCAGCCTTCTGTCAGTCTGCTTTCTTTTTCTATCAACATGTCCCTTGTTAACACATGAGCACTGCAGTACCTCTTACTCCTTGTGCTGCTTCTCCCTCCCTCAAGAGGCTGATACCAGGTCAAACTCAGATACTTACATTACTTGCATTTAAAAGACACACTTATTGATGTAATAATGAATACAGAGCTGCATTACTGCCTTCTTTTATATATGCCTAGAGTTCAGCTTTACGTTTCAATTATAGTATGCATAAGCTGCCTCTTTAGTGTCTGTGAACAAGGCAATATTTGCACTGAGGTCAGATTTGGATGCCTCTGAACTTTCTGCAGAACAAGCCTGGCAATTACATTGTTTAGAAGGAACCAAAGGAAGCCAATCCAGGATGTTCTCTAAATCCCTGTGAAAGATTGTATCACATGCATCCACTTTACAGGAATGAGGACCACTTGAATTTCCACTATGTTAGCAGTGGAGTGTAGAAATGTGTTGCATTGAGTGCTCAGTGAGCTTATTGAACTCCAATGAAGAGAACTTCAGTTATACTGCATATTCCTTACAATTAAGGTCTTCATCATGTATAAAGGGGGTTTCCTGCCATGCAGAGATTTGTACATGTCAATGTATTTATAAGAATAGCCTGCTAGAGGTACTTTGTATAACTATTGGTCCTTTACTACAAAGAGCAGTGAATTGTCCAAAGCTGTACTCACCAGTAGTGCATGTTTAACAGGTAACCATTTATACAGTTATGTGTAAAATTAGGTACACCCCATGGAAATGTTTTACTTTTTCAACAATTCGAACGTGCCAATCAATGGTTTTTGATTGATCAGCATTCAGCATTTTGTTCCAGTTGGCCTGGTCTTTCCTTATGTGTTCAGTTGCAAAGTGCAGTCTTGCACTGTGTTCGTTTTGGATAGCAAAGGCTTTCTCCTGGCTCACTTCCCATGCAAGTTAAATTGGTGCAATCTCTTTTTGATTGTAGATGCATGCGCTTTGAGCCCAACTGTTGCAGGATTTACCTGAACTCACAATTACATTTTGGCATTTTTGGAGACTTCTCTTATGGTCAGCTCTTGGGTTGAATTTTCGGGGCAGGCCATTCCTGGACAAATTAGAAGTTGTTTGCAATCTACACCACTTGTATTTTCCTTACAGTGCAATGATTGATTTAAAAAAAAGGGAAATCTTTTAAAATCCCTTGCCAGACTACTAGACATCTGCAACCTTCTTTCTGGGGGCTCTTTTCATCTTTGCTATTGACATATGTGAGGCAATCATGCCAAGAAAACACCTGACCCTAGATGTCTAAAGTTTAAATAAGACCAGTTCCCTGCATACTCCCTAAGGGGGTTGCAATCAATGCCACCTAACCTGGAACACTGGATTCTAATTTCATGACAATAAAGGGGTGGTAAATGTAGGGGTGTACTTACTTTTTCCATGTGAACAGTTGGCATTTTTATTAATTTAGCTTATAATAATGAATATACCATGTCAATTTTTAGTGTCCTTTGTTCAAGTATATCCTCACTATCTGCAGGCACTGTTTAAATCAAGATCCAATGCTTCTCTGTTCAAATATATTTTAAAATGTAACACTTTCCATGGGGTGTACTTACTTTTTCACATGGCTGTATATGTAGCGATGGATGAATTGATGTCTCAGAAGTGTGATTTAGCTACCAGGGCAAATGTCCACAAAACATGAACTGTTGGGATTTGAAGACAGACAGGACGTGTTGCCTTAATCTGTGCCCGCCAATTAGTTTAAAGCTTGCCACAGTTAAATAGATTTAGGGGGTTATTCACTAATGAGCCAAAGGATCCAGCCATAGCTTCAGCTGATCCTTCACTTCGGCAGCCTGAGCCCTTCAGTTCAGTTGAACCGGAGGGTTGCTGTACGGACTATTCACTATAGCCCTTACAACAGCCGAAGGCAGCTGAGCGGCTCAGTCAAGCCGAACGCATATGCTTCGGCTCGGCTGAGCCGTAGTGACAGATTAAGCGTGGAGAAATGTCGGCCAAAGCCATCCAATCTCCATGCAAATGACAGCGGGGCGGAGCCGTCACGGCCGGGTCTGCCCAGTTATTATTGTTTAGTGACAGATCAGCGTCCCCAGGTCATTTGGGGACGCTGATCTGTCATCCAAACTGAGCGCAGCGAGCCATGAGATCACAGCTGGCTCCGCCCAGCTGTCATTTGCTGGCCGTTCGCCCCGCTTCGGCTGTCACTTCAGCTCAGTCGAGCCGAAGCATATGCCTTCGGCTTGGCTGAGCTGCTCGGACACCTTCGGCTGCTGTACGGGCTATTGTGAATAGCTCGTACAGCAACCCTTCGGGTTCAACTAGCTAGGGCTGGAAACTTCGGCTCCTTTGTGAATAGCCCCCTTTCGGTTCAACGCCACGGCCGGCTGCTGCCAGTTGTTATTTATTGGCTGGGACCTGCTTGAAGACTCTGGCAGGTGTTGGCCAATAGGAAATAGTTGAGCAGAACTAGCAGTGATGTCATCGTGGGCTCAGCCCAATCGTTTTTATTTTGCCGGCATCTGTGAGACGCTTCATTATGTGGCGGGAGTTTGTCACGTGCGGTCAGGTCGGCGTGCGTCGGTTTTTTGTATTATTATTTTTTTCTTTTTAAATATTTTTCTTTTAATTTTAATATTTTTTGACATTTTAAAAATAATTTTTCAAAATGTCTGCACTTCGGCTGAAATCAGCTGTACAGGCCTGGAGTGAATAGCTGGACAGCATTCGGCTCACTTCGGCTCGGTTATACACTCGTGAATAACTCCCTTAAATTCTGATTGGTTACTATGGGTTCTTCCACTCCTCGCTGTTCAGGTATATTACAGGTGTCTGTGTCCCATCTGAAAAGTTGAATACTTGATGCATGCCAGTCATTTATTGATTCAATTCTTTCTCTTGTTGCAGTTGAATCCTTTGAGGAGGTATCAGACAGCTTGTGTATTCCCCAGTACAACAAAGATGGGGAAGAGCGAGTGATTCTCTTTCTTAAAATGAACAATAATTACACTTTTGGCAGTGACCTGGTGAAGAGGATAAGAGATTCTATTAGAATAGCACTGTCTGCCAGGCATATACCATCTCTGATCCTTGAAACCAAAGACATTCCAGTAAGTATAAAAGGCATTGATTGCTACAGTATCCTATGATCCTATTACAATGGTACACAACCTGAAAACATGTAGATGTTTGCATGTTCTGGTAAAATAACTGACTGCAATAGTTATAAAGAAAGGCAACACCACGATAACACCCTAATCTGTGGGAAATAAGTTCAAGCAGAGAGGATTGCACAAAACAGAGCAGAAATTGGATTGTGTTTCTCCTTATCTACAAACAATGTAGAAGTGACTCCAAGCCAAGCAAAGCATGGTGGGAGTACTTTACTTTGTTAAGCACATGGGAAATTCCAGGATCATACTATGTCCTTCCAGTGCATTTTCCTGCATCAAGAACACCTAGACCGTATTACAGTTTATGCCTATTATAATCTATCCTATTGTACCATAAAACATATGACTGGATCTAGAGCAAATGTGCTTGTACACAGATCAGCTCAAGCTGAACTTCCACATTGTATCAGCAGCAGTAATTGTTTGACAACCATTTACAATTTTGGTGTGTGAGCGGATTTCATCAGCCATCTAGTTTGATAAACTCACTTATGTAAAATTGGGTAGTAGACAACAGAACAGATTTCATGGTCCTTAAAGCGTATATAAAGCCAAATATTGAATACTGTATACTGTAGCTCACCAATCCTTAAAGGATAACTATGGGGTCAGTGTTTTTCCCCATAGTTCTCCTTAGGGTAACGGGAGGACACAAACTAGCGTCCTCCCGTTACCCTAAGCTTAGTATACCGCGAGCTACAGCTTGCGGTATACTGAGACGCTACAGCCGGAGCGGATCCCGACTTAGATGACGGGATCCGCCCAGCTGCGTGAGTGACAGCTGGCTCTGCCTATCTAGAGGCAGAGCCAGCTGTCCCCGCCCCCTCCCCCGTCCATTCCGCCAGTCAGCGCTGGCAGATCGGAGCGGGGAGAGGGGAATCCAGCCCCTCCCCCTGTCACGGCAGAGAGCCGTGACAGGATCGAGAGGTGAGCGAACCTGGTATGTGTTCGCTCACCTCCCGATCTACTGAGCCGACCTGTGACAGTCTCATTGTCACAGGTCGGCTAGAACTATGAGGTGAGTGAAAAGCACTCATGTCATAGTTCTCCTTTAAATAAAGCAGCTGCATTTGTATTCTTTTTTAGTTTTTTCCTTTATTTTCACCAGGTGATCCCGCCAGTAACACACTTCCAGTCTCAGGGTGCTGTGTGCCCCAATTATCAAGAAGCCGGGCAGCAGATCATGACCTGCCGCCTGGCTTCCTGATTGCCTGGGAAGCCTGTGTTCTATCGACAGAAAACTGGCCTCACTTCTCGAGGCTGCCTTGCTTACTGACCAATCAGCAAGCCAGGCGGCACGTCATGAACCGCTTTTCAGCTTCCTGATTGGCTAGAAGGCCGGCTTTACGTGTTGCTAGGCAACCTGGCTTACTGACCTATTGGGAAGCTTGAAGGCGGGTCATGACGTTTCCTGATTGGAAAGGAAGCCGGCTCCATGCTCCCTCAGCACTACCAGTCAGAGGGGGATCTCCCTCTGACTGGAAGTTCTGGTATCAGAGGTAAGTATCGGAGCATGGTACTCGCCCAAATCCTCGGTATAGGTGCATCCCTCATTAAATATATTCCAAAAGGTGCTCAAAATGTAACTTTTAATTTTCTTTGGAAAGCAGCAACAGCCTGAGTAGAAAAGCCTTTCCTCTGACAGCATGCGGCAGAGGAGAATCCTTGCTCTCTGTGTGGAAGCAGTGGTCTCTCTGAAGTTGTCTGACATGCTGAGTCAGACCTATGGCTCTCCAATCGACAGGAAGCATGAGATTTTCTGACTGTGGAGATGTAGGTCTGACTCAACAGGGGACATGTAGACCTCAGAGAAAGGGTCCTCTGCTGGCAGGGGACAGGTTTTGCTACTCAGGCTGTGACTGCTTTCTAAAGAAAACAAACTAATATATTACACCTGAAATAAATGTAGCTGATTTAAACTCAATCAGGCTTTAAAGTGATGCTGAAGCCAAAAGGTTTTTAAGCTATTCCAAATGCTGGAAAAAAATCACTTAAATGGACGCTGCTTCTTGATGTTTAAAATTTTTAGTTTCCTGCAGAATCAGCTGGTCTCCTGAGCACTGGTCCTGATATCCTGTTTTAGAGTGACTCCTTTCCCTTGCAGGGTCCAATGGAGCCACCCTTGTGTGTGCTAGTAATCAAACACCCAGCAGGGCAAGTCTATCCCCCTCTCTGCTCACCACTCCTGCCTTCTTCAGACTAGTAGATGGAGATCTGCTGTGCTCTGTCCCTTGTGATCTTGTACTGGACCGGAAGTTCTGGGAAGTGGCGCTGAGAGATTTGGAGCTAGATGTTTGCAAACATGATGACTGAAAGTGCATGGGCAAAAATAGAAAGAAATACTTGGTGGGCAATGCATATTTGATCTGGATTTGCTATAAAAAAAAAAAAAGTTTGAGTTTACACTGGCGGCATTCCAGAGTGTAGGTCGGGGGTTACTTTTCCATACCATAAGCGGTAACCCCGAGCCACACTCGGGAATGCCGCATAGCATTTACTTACCTTGTCCCACGAGCCGCGCTGTGTTCTCTTCCGGGTTCCGTCCCTTGCGAGCGTACGCGTCGCAGGGGGACGGAACCGGCGGGATATTTAAAAAAACCGACAAAAACAACAAAAATTCGGTGAAAAAAATAGAACGAAAAATGACACGAAAAAATCATACCGCCAGAGAGGTTAATACTACTTTACTATTAGATAACAGTGGTTCATCAGAAAAAAACATTCCATCCTTCCCCTTAGATTAGGCTGGGATTGGATAAGTCTACTGCTTTTATATCAACACTGTAAATAATGTATTCCTCATCTGTCATCATCTGTTGGTCTCTCTCCTCCCACAGCAGTTGCCCTGGGAATCCTGCCTTAGCTTCCCAGTATTGAGAGCCTATGTATGTCATTGACAAGCATGCAGCACAAAGCTTTTTCAGCCCTTCTCCATGCTGAAGTAAATGTGATATTTCCCGTTACAACCCGCATGCGGCATTTACTTTTCCTGTTACACACTGTCCTCCAGCTTTGATAGTGTTAAAATGTTCAAAAGCGAATCCCAAACTACCGAGTAAAATGTTGTGGAAGTTTGGCAAAGAATTGTGACCTTGAATGATTATAGAACTGCCAAGTTTCATCATGATCTGAGTCTTTTTCCCATAAGTCATAAGCATCTGAAAAACAGGATTTAACATAATGCTGCCTCACTAGATTTAATGTAAGGAGCTATGAGTTTGGCAGAGAACACCGGAGACTGATATGCATTCCTAAGCTTCCTCTAATGTATCTGTGGGATACAAAATGTCTTTATTTCTGCCTGTCTCATAACTTTCTATTCCACTTTATTCACTTTGGGAGGTCCCAAGTGCATACCCCACCGTTTAACACACAGATCTGTTCTGCTGTCCTCCACCCCCTCAAAACAAATTATGTATATGTCTTAAATGTGTTATTTTACTTCTCGATGGTATTTGAAGAGACATCTTCAGTGTAATTTTCACTATTGTCTTAAACAGTAGAAGAGAACAGAACATTTTGGATGTCTATAGGGGAAAGATAATTGGTAGAAACTGGTGCTTGATTTCCTCCAGATACATTATACTAGAAGCATGTGGGGGCTGGAAAATTCTGGTGTCACTTGCTGTGGAGTCGTTAATATCTGTACACGTTTGCTCACTCTGCGATATTAGCATCCATTGATTTCCCTGACGTGCCTGGACAGTGCTCAGCGCTAGAGAAGGAGCAATTTTTTCCGAAACTTGCCATACAAATGTACACGCGTGTGCTGAGGACCGAGTGGACAGAGCCCATCTACTCTGTAGAAAAGAGACAGCTTTAAGCTGCCTACTGAAAATCTCATTAGCAGTAAGTGTCTGGTGACCTCATGCAGTTTTGATATAAGTATGAAGAAGTCACGCTAACTCCAGCTCAAGTTCAGTCAATATTTTATTGACCTCTGTGGTGTCACAACATGGCACATCACTTTTTGTATATATTGGTTTACTTTTTGTATATATTGCTGCAAGTATTGGTTTGTGTTCACTCTTTGTTTGCCTAATGGAGGGACCAAACGGGTTCCTGGCCATGTTGTGACACCACAGAGGTCAGTAAAATATTGACTGAACTTGAGCTAGAGTGCGATTGACTACTTCATACTTATACTGATTTGCGGAGGCACCCATGGTCGCTTGGCACCCACCCGATACTTGAGGGTATTATCCGGTCACGTGTGCAATGAGTTTCTTTTGATTATTGAACTCATGCAGTTTTGGACACAAAAGAAAAGTCGAGTTTGGTTTTAAAGCAACTCTGTCACTAAAGTCAATGTCCAAAATAGTCTAATAGAAGCCATGAATTACCAGACTCTCTTGCTGCCTGTGCTCCCAATCTGCACTAGTAAAGACAAACTGTTGACTGAAGAATCTGACACATCTGGGAGTGTCAATTTTCTGGTTCCCTGTTTAACGGTTAAGTGGTAGACTGCTTAATGGTTCAGTCTACCACTCCCTACCTCACTACTTTGACCTGTAATGACATAGAAGGCAGTGGGAGGAACCTCAGTGTGCAGCAGGAGCTAGAAACTTGACATCCCCAGAAGTGTCAGATTCTGCTGGAACAGAGATTGGCAGCATGTCAGTAGGATGGCTTATATTTCATGTCTTCTTTGTGGTCCTTAAATGACCCCCCTCCCAGGTTCAGCGCATTTAAAGATATGACTGAAAGACATAGGTCTGTTTTGTCTAATTTATCATGTCATTGTTTCACAGCTCAGATTTAAGTCCAATTAAATTCCAGAGACAACTACCAGGTACAAAAACATATATAATTATATCACTGCTTCAGACCCAGGAGCAAGTTCCATAGAGGACGACTGCTATCTGTGTGTGAGCAGTGGTCTCTCTGCAGTGGTCTGGTATGCCCCCCCCCCCTCTCTCCAGCAATGAGCTTTCTTGACTGTAAAGATCTAGCTGTGGCACACTGATGAAGGATGTGGGGCCGCTACAGAGAGATCACTCGTTACACACAGATATCAATGGTTCTTTGTTGAGCCTTGCGCTAAGATCTGACAAGATTATGCTGCTACTGGAGGGGAAACATCAATAAACAGCAGTAAACCTTTTCAACATGTCTTCAGTCTAGTCACTTGATGCCACGAGGTCTTCAGTCTAGTCACTTGATGCCACGAGGTCTTCAGTCCAGTTACTTGATGCCGCGAGGTCTTCAGTCTAGTCACTTGATGCCACGAGGTCTTCAGTCCAGTCACTTGATGCCACGAGGTCTTCAGTCCAGTCACTTGATGCCACGAGGTCTTCAGGGATGCAGGGAGCAGCATTGAGGAGATGACACCGGTGCTGTTCTCTGCACTATCGTGCAGTAAATGTTGGGTGTTATCTAAGCACTCTGCACTCACAGCATGTCCTCAAACTCCTGAAGTCATTCAACACCTAAGACTGAGGACATCTTGTGGATGAGAAGAGTACCATGAAGGATGGTTCTGGTTAAATATTGGCAGTATTGCAGCCAAAGCTTTTTACTTTTACAACACCTGGGGGACATTAAAATAAATGGCAGTATGTAAAGTAAAAAAAAGTAAAAAGCCGTATGTAGAATGAAACACGTGTGGCTTTTACTTTGTCTCATCTAATCAATGTTCCTCTTCTTTACAGTACACAATTAGCGGGAAGAAAGTAGAAGTTGCTGTAAAACAAATCATCGCGGGCAAGGAAGTAGCGCATCGCGGGGCGTTCTCCAACCCCCAGTCCCTGGATCTATACCGCAATATTCCAGAGCTGCAGAATTTCTGAGAGACTATGGGGATCATATACATTGACCTGCATGGATGGCACAGACTAATAAGGGAAATTCTGTATTTCCAAGGTATATGTGACTTGTGCCAGCAGCCGTATCTTGTTCTACAGGGAAGAATCAACCTTCTATCTACATTCTGTCAACACACCAAAGTCATTGCATTCAGTTTTATAAATAGCATTTCAGAACCAAATGTCATATTCTCTCTTCTGGAAAGCATGAGTTTAAGCCATGGCATCTGTTATGTAAAATTAGGTCAGTTTCCTCATCTTAATCCAAGGACACAAACTGTACACTTCTCCAGCTGTTCAAGTGGCCCTGTCTAGAAAAAACCCCAGAAATGTCTACAGCCTGTAAGAAATCTGAAATGCTATGCACTGTTACAGTCACCAATCCCTCTCATGAGCATGGTACCCTGTACAATTCTAGCCCATCATTCCTGTATATTTGCTATCATGGCATGAGCTGTTACAGCATGTGACCGTTTAGGAGCAATTCATGAGCCTGCTGGAATTGTCTGCATTGTCTCAGGAGCAGAGCAGACATTAGGCTCCTGGGGATTATCATGATAATAATCTGCTTAGAGAAGGACAAATACATACTAGCGTTAGACCATTTTGAATTTAGATATATCGGTACAATGTCAGCACATAGTAAACACTGCTTTATATATACAGTATATATATATATAATGGTGTCTTCAATGTAGAGTTCAAGTAATAGGTCCACTTTCCATGATATGTCTTTATGTGCTTCCACTCCAAATGAAGTCATACGTTCCCTACTCCTTCTATAGACAGGTGGCACTCATCCATAAAAAGCATGCTTCACCTGTAAACTTTCTATTCCTAGTAACAGTTTAGTTATCTGCCTTCTGTTGTACAATAGGGAGTGATCTGCTAAAGTGCTGAGAGACAACAACAGCATGCTTTTTAAGGGAAAGTGTCGCATATTTTGGGTTATTAGTGCACTGTTTACCTCAAAAGTCATTTTTGATAGGACTTTTACCAATTCATGCCTATATTTTTCATATTGTAGTTAATACAGAGGTCTGTAAATTAGCCACTAGAGGGAGCTCTCACTGGTTCAGTGCAATGCCTTTCTCTCTTAGCAGCTGTTGAGGTAGAATGATGGGGAGCAGTAAACACAAACATTGAGGTTGATTTATTAAAGTTGAGAATCTTCACCGTGTTCACTTTGAATACCCAATCGTGGGAAGACAAAATATAGATGGATTTGCTTTTCACATGATTGAGTGAAGATTTACTTCATTTATCCAATCAGCCTCATCGTGTAGCACTACAAAGAGGGGAGCAGAGACTGTGTTTGTAATAAGCAACTATGGCTGCTCACAGGTATGGTTAATGACATACTGTACATAAGAGTCCAGGTTATTCAAACTGAACCACATATTGATGAGGTTATTTACATCCAGATGTTCTTTACATGTCTGTCTAAAAATGAAATGTTCAAAACAGTAAACATTCCCTTTAAGTATCCAGTTATGTGCAGGGAAGCTAAAAAAAAAAAGAATTTCTGCACATGATTGGATGTTGGACACATGCTTTAGTAAATCACTGCTATGTGTGCTCATTTATAAAGCAGTGAATGTGACATTCACTGAAGGCATATCTTTCTTGTACATGTGTTATAAATTACAGGGATGATTTCACCTGCAGCGACTGTTTGGTGAATGTCACATTCACTGCTGTATAAATAGGCCCCTTAGATAGTCAGCCCAAAAATAGGCCTCTTCAGATAGCCAGTCAGACTACATAGTTACTCAGTCCAAAAGGCATTACTTTCATGTGTGTGTGTGGGCACAATCTGCCACAAAAGGAACACAGTAGGAAACTAGAAAAGGGAATAAAGGTGAAGATACCCTTTTACTATAAAGAGATTTTCATTGCAGAAATTGCACTGGCTGTTTTTTTTTGCTGCCCTGAGTTCAATAAATGTTGCCAATGTTCTGTACACAGACCTATAAAACAGCCCACAGACCAGGCGAGAGAGATTTTACCTGTGCATGCTTTATATAATTGATGTGTGTAAGCTGTGAACCATGGTATGGAATCTCTTCATTGATCACCAAGAAACCATTTGTTTTAGTTTGGGATAAGTCGGGGAAGAGTAAAATATCTGTCATGTTCATATTCCTGTCTGTCAGCTAATCGGGGAGATGTACCCTCATTTCCTGTGCGACCAGGACAAGAAATGAGAAGTGCAGTTGTCACCGGACACCGGACCGGACATAAAAGCATTGTCAGAAGTTCTAACCTTCTTCTATGTATTTTTTTTGCGTCTCTTCCAATTAGAGAGATTTTTTTATCATATCTGAAAGGAAGTCTCTCTAATTGGAGCACGGCAAAAACCAACCTGACAGAGGCCTAATCCTTCCCTGCTCTAATTAAAACAAAAAACATTTTGGCTGAAGATTGGCTTTAAAGAATAGATGCACTTTCTGACAAAGTCTACTATTTGCTCCCCTCCACTGACCTAACAGATCCCACCCTTCTCCTCCACAAATGTATACTTACTGAGGTCTGAGGTCTCCTGTATTTGTTTACATCCCATGCTGAGGTCTCTCTCTGCTGGCCGCATCTGCACACTGGAGCCCCACCAAAGTCTATGGGTGTCCTCTCCCTGTACCTCCCGCTGAAAGATGGAAGTGGATGAGTCCTTTAGAAGTCTACGAGGCTCTACTATGCAGGCACTGCTAGGAGAAAGAGGACTTCAGCACGGGATGTAAACAAACACCCAGGAAGCCCCGGGTGCCGCATCTCAGGAAGTATGTGCCTATGAAGGGGGTCAGCTGTTATTTCAGGGGAGAGGTGCAGAAAGAATAAGTGCACCTATACATTAAATCTGAGGGGGGGTGTAAGAAGTCCAGTGCTGCCTAAATAAAAGGGACACATAACTGTGCTGCATTTTTAATAAGCTAGTAGCACACCTTCAAGGAAAAAGGACATGATTTTTTTTTTAGGGCAGCGCATCAAAACACACGTCATATGCATGGTGGGGTGCTGCAGTGCATAGGAGTGAATGTGCCCTAAAAGTTGTAAGGTCCAAAGCATATTAGATACAATGCCCTGTGGTCTGTATTGAAGTGATTGATATGAGGATTACTTAGAGACAGAGATGGTGGACTGCAACTCTCATTATTTTAAAAGAGGTGTGCCTGCTGGTGTCCAGCCTTATTCATGGTATATATATAT